CACACCAAAGGACCTCAGTCTCCTCAACAAGTGGAGGCAGCTCTGGCCCTTCCTGTACAGGACATTTGTGTTGTTGGTCCAATCCAGCTTATTGTTGAGGTGGACACCCAGGTATTGAAAGGTGTTCACAATCTGAGCCCTGCAAGCTCACCGGCGTGACTGCTGCTGATTTCCACCGAGGGTCAATCACCATCTCTTTTGTCTTGCTGGTGTTTAGGACCAGGTGATTTTTCTCACACCACTCCACAAAGTCATTAAAATTTTAAATATAAAGCAAATATCATTGCATTGTGTTATACCCAGTGTTTTCATCTGATAAATAACAAAAATGATTAAATGAGCAAAAATCACAAGGTAGTGGTGTCTTCTCTGGTTGATCCCGTTTCAGGTGCCAATGCTAAAGCTAACACTGCCCCCTGCTGGCCAAAAGAACATTTCTATTAAACTCCTGAAGTTCACAGATGACACAGTGGTCATCGGTCCCCACCCCCATACTCAGCAGCACTGTATCAGCAGTAGAGTCCTACAAGTTCCTGGGCTCCACTGTCTCCCAGGACCTAAAGTGGACGTTCAACATCAGCACCAGCATGTGCTGGGTATTACTCACAAAACACAAAGTAATACATTTATTATGTTTCAACTCATACTAATTAGTGGCTCTTTAATTGATGGAACTGACAAAAGGAGTGATGAAAATAGATCATTAAAAATGTTTATATGCCAGAACAAACTTGTTTGATCATGAAGAAGAAGGCACAGCAGAGCATGTACTTCCTGCGCCAGCTCAGGAAGTTCGACCTGCCCCAGGAGCTACTGATACAGTTCTACAGAGGAATCATCGAGTCTGTTCTCTGCACCTCCATCACTGTCTGGTTTGGCTCAGCAACCAAACAGGACATGAACAAATTCCAGCTGACAGTCAGGGCTGCAGAAAGAACCATCGGTGCCAGCCTGCCCTCCATGGAAGACCTGTACACCTCACGGGTCAAAAGGAGGGCGGAGAGGATCACTGCAGACCCCTCACACCCCTCACTCAAACCGTTTGAACTCCTTTCCTCTGGACGGTGCTACAGGTCACTATACACCAAGACAACCAGACACAAGGACAGTTTCTTCCCCAGCACCATCACTCTGATGAACAGTTAACTATGACTGAAGCAACAGGACTTGGCAACCATCACAGTACACTTGTAAATAGTACCACTACATGAACCAGTCTGATAGCTTGAAATATGTATATAATGTTTATGAATACTGCCTCTCCCACGTTTCCCCTACCTTTGATTGGACTATTGTGTTTTCTGTTGTCTGTTGCCTAAATCACACTGAGAGCCTCTGTGCCAGAGACAAATTTCTTGTATGCTCTTCATACTTGGTGATTAAAGCTGATTCTGATATGTTCATATATATTACATATCAGAGGACTGAAACAGCACTGAGGTTACTTATTGATAGAGGTAACACTTACAGCTGCCTAGAAAAATGTTAAAGACGATTAGAAAGAAAATGTAAAAGATTTCAACACATTTAAAATGCAAGCAGACATCTTTAAAATTTCCAGAAATCCCCTAAACTTTTACCTTTTCTTACCCAGACTTGACTCAAAGCATTTAAGACCTGCAGCCAAAACCTGGTTCTGGTTCTTCTATGTATTATTTTTACTTAGTTTTACTTTGCTGTGTGTTGCAGACAATTGTTTCTGTTTTTCACTGTTGTTTAACTGTGATGATCTCATCTTTGTGACATAAGCACATGAACGTATTATTTTTGTTACCTATAACAATAGTACATACTGGCATTATATTTTGTGTACCCTATACAAATACATATTGTATATGCTATATACTGTCTATAATTTATGGATATGGTATTTGAATGCTCTGTTACTTTCTTATAAAATTTGATTTCTCCTTATTGTGTCTGGCTATTGTGCTCCTGCAACACAGAATTCTATCTAATGATGTTTCACCTTTTTATCACTTTTTACAACAAAGTAACAGAACATCCGCTTGTAGCACTAACACTACTACTGTCACTCAGAGTATTAGTAGTCTATTTATTGACCAGCTACAGTTAATGTTAACATGTCTGATACAGCTAACCTGCTGCTAACTAGGTGACACAAACACTCACAGCTTCCAGGTGAAGATCTTCCATTCTTATGAAAAGTGCCCCGAGTCTCTGCTGAAGGAAAAACCGTATGATTGTAATACTTGAAGGTGGCGCAGAAAACTGCTAATGCAGTTAGTTTGACAGGGTTGCTATGGTAACTCCGGAAACAGGAAATTACATCGCGCAAAGGCGAAATTGTTTCAGCCAATCCGCTTGTTAAGTGGTGACTTAGCATTCCACCATAGTCGGCCAATCAGAGAGCGGCGGCGGGAGGATTCAAAATTCAGAAAGGAAACAGTTGGGGCAGTGGACATTTTTGACGAGATTTATCTCGGGATTAATTTTTCTGCTTTTACGATTTGAAGTGAAACAGTCGAAAGCTTAAAGAAAGCCTTTAGTTATCGACAAGATAAAGGTTTTTGACCTGCTTGAAACAAAGACACGGAGCTAAGTGGCAACATGGCCGATTCAGCTGGACAGAGTCGCTGTGAGTAAAAATATTTCAGGTTTATGAGTTAATAAAAAAGCGACTATTCGTCGGCACTCAAGGTTGTCTTCCTTGTGTCCTGCGGGACGCTACAATATATATTGCCGACGAATAGTCGCTTTTTTATTAACTCCACACAACCGGTTACTGTTGGCCGTAACCATACCAAGCACTTGTGAGGAGTTAAAGTCAGTAAACAGTCCTGTATTTCAAACCCTTGTGTCATTGAAAATTTAAAATGCATCCTTCCTGATTTGCTGCATTTATGCTCAGTCCTTGCACGTTCTATGGCTGCATGTTTGTTCTGATATTTGTCCTTCAAGATTCATGTTACAGGATAAAAACAACAGTTTCCTTTACAATATAAAAAGTGCTTTAGTTTCAAATTGTAGTTTGAAATGGAAAAACTGAGCTTTTTAATTGTGGAACACAACTGGCCACACTTACAGCGTGAGCTTCATTCAAGGTTTTAATGTGTGTTTTGTCTTTGTGTGTGCGTTAATGTGTCCATGTGTGTTATTAGATGAGCGTCTGACTGCTGAGCAGATGGATGAACAGAGGATCCAGAACGTGGCCTATCAGTACCTGTGCAGGTTGGAGGAGGCCAAGAGGTCAGTGGATTCAGGCCGGTCTCAATCTTTACCCCCCTTTAACTGATGATTATTTCCATTATTCATAATCTAAACCCAGGATGGGAGTGTACCTGTTGGACCCAAGAGACCATGTTCTATAGCACAGACAGAGTGTGATAAAGAACAAGGCAAAACCAGGGTTAACATTGGTTTATCACCTTATCAGAGACTTTCTGTGGGATTTTCTAGGACTGTCTCCCACACAGTAATGTTGGATGATATTGTGTGGAATGGGACTAAAGAATTTTAGGTCTGTCTGGAGCGAAAATATGCCACTAGAGAGAAAGAGATGGTCTGAGAGCTACTGGCAAACTCGGGGAAGCCGTACGACTCTGAAAATGACTTCTGGTTCGACAGTTAAGGGAGAAGTGACATTTTCTCTGGGTTTACACTTCTGAATGTTGTGAAAGGGTGTTAGACATTCTAGAAAAACCCTTAAAACTCAGTGACACCCACTTTCAAATTTATGAAAACTTTATGAAATAATCACAATAAAGGACAAATATACCGAAAAGGAATAAATATGTAAATATGTATAAAAATATCTGATCGCTTGTGTCCCTGTCAGGCTCCTGTAGGGATGATGAGTCCATTTATTCAGTCATCTGAACAGCTGACAGGTTTGAATCTGATCCTCTGCAGTTCACCTGGTGTGGTGTCTGTGCAGCACAGGTTACCATGGTGATCTACCTGGTTAAAAGTGAGCCAACAGCCAGAAACCCTGAATTCAGTTCAAAGAGAGCTGACCCAGTAACCTATTTATATTAATATTGAGGATTGATAATCCAAAATCAGTGTGTTACCTCTTCTCATGTAACTCTTTTCCTCCTCAGGTGGATGGAGGCGTGTCTGGGGGAGGAACTTCCTCCTCCCACTGAGCTGGAGGAGGCACTGAGAAACGGAGTCATTCTCGCTAAACTGGGCCATCATTTCGCTCCGACCACTGTCTCCCTGAAGAAGATTTACGATCTCGAGCAGCACCGATATCAGGTCACATGAGGCGACACAAAACATGATGCACACAACACAACACACCAATACAATTTAATAATACAGCAACATGTAATGCGCCAGTTTATACCAGTTTAAACCAGTCCATACCAGTTCAAAATTGTACAATTATTAATTATCACTGATCTTAGTAATTAGAAGACAATTTTACCTGTCATTCAATTGTGTTTCAATTTATCAATCAATAATCACCTGTCTTGATGTGTAAATCAGCTGTGTATAGCTTGTCAATAATCAGTAATCAGCTGTGTATCAATCTGTCCAGGCTTTGGGTCTTCAGTTCCGTCACACTGACAACATCAACCACTGGAGGAACGCCATGACAGTGTTAGGACTGCCAGCGGTCAGTGAACAGACTGATTGATCAGTGAATTGATTGCAGTATTGATCTGAGTATTGTGTGATCACATGCTGTTGTTTTTAGATCTTTCACCCAGAAACTACAGATGTGTATGACAAGAAGAACATGCCCCGAGCAGTTTACTGCATTCATGCACTCAGGTACAGCATCTGTTCACCAGTTTGTTTGCCTGTTCATCTGTTTGCTTATTGTTTACCTGTTTATCTGTGTTTACCTGTTTCTCTCTGTAGCTTGTACCTGTACAGACTGGGTTTGGCTCCACAGATCCACGACCTCTATGGAAAAGTCAAGTTCACAGGTGAGTCTCTCTCAGACCTCTGTGCAGGTGTTTGCACAGGTGCATTTGTGTGGTGGATTCTGTTCATAGAAGTTTAGAGGATTAATCTGCAGCAGCACAGGAAGTATGTCTGTGTTTAGAGCGATAATCTTCACTTTATTCACCTGAGCTTTTGTTTATTCACAGTCAATGCCACATCTGTACAGGGGTTAAGGGGAATTCATGTTTTGCACATACACTCATATGTACGCGGATGAGGGATGCACACGTGTTCCTAGTCATGTTTTAAATCATGGGTCTGCTTTCTGTCCATGTACGCTGATGGTTTCCAAGCACTGTGGTACATGTGCGGTCAGGGCTTTTGCTGTGAGGACAGTCCCCTTGGACACAGAGTCCACGCAAATACTTGCGGGCCTGGGAAGATGATGAAATTACCTCACTTGACCTTAGCAGACATGTGGACGCACAAAGTATGAATGGCCTCTTACACACCTTTCGGAAAATTCAATTTGACTTCAGACTCTGAAACTGCTATTTTCTCTCTCACTCCCTTTTCTTTCTGTAGTTCATGAGAACTCAGAATCAAAGTTCATAAAGTTCCAGGAGAGGAACACGTTTTATGCTCCAGTTTCTATGTGACTTTAATTCTGACAGGTTATGTCAGTTTCTTGTTTGTCTGTCCTGTAAAAGCACAAAATGTGACACAAAGTCTGAAGTTCATGTTTAAAGTTATATATGTTTGTCCTTGTGTGTTCAGAGGAGGAGATCAACAACATGAAGCTGGAGCTGGATAAATATGGGATCCAGATGCCAGCATTCAACAAGATTGGAGGAATCCTGGCCAATGAGCTGTCAGTGGACGAGGCTGCAGGTAGAGAGAAACACTGATTGGCTGGAAGGCCTCTCCAGTTGATTACTGCTGAAGGAGGCATTCTTTGAACTAGAGGTGCAACTAATGACTATTTTAATAATCGATTAACCTGTTGATTATTTCTACAATTAAACAGATGTGTAACAAAACATGCAGAAATCTGTTTTCCACATTATAAAAACAAATGCATTTAAACAGTGCTTTTGCAATGTTTCTATATGGTGCATTAGTAAACTAAAATAAATGATCTGTTCAAGAATAGAACATTTATAAAGTGCACAATAGATCTTTACAGGGTAACACAAACACTAAAATGTTTATGATTTAAAATAATTTATATTTTCATAAATCATTTCCATGCCAATGTAAAGAGCCAGTACACACATGACTACTACTGTTGCTGGTTAAAAACAAATGTGAGTAAACAATCCTCAATCCTTAAGATAATAATTCACTATTGTAACATTGTAGATAAGTCAAAAAGCACGCCATGGGCTTTTTTAAACTGCTAAAACATTAGCATCTCCCTCCCCTGCCACAACATGACATACAGTGCCTTGCAAAAGTATTCATACCCCTTGAATTTTTCCACATTTTGTCACATTACAACGACAAACAAAATTGTTGTAATTGACATTACTCTGAACTTACCCCTCTTTCTGTTTTCCATCAGTACATGCGGCAGTGATCGCCATCAATGAGGCAGTGGACAAGCAGGATGTTGGCAGGATGGCGGCAGCTCTGAGGAACCCGAACGCCATGTTGAGCAACCTGCAGGAGGCGCTGATCAGTGTCTACCAGGAGATCCTGCGACAGGCTAAAGGGCGGAAAGCTGAATGGGCAGCTGGCAGGGTGAGGGGAGGGGTCCAAGTCCAGTCCAAAGACATGGAGCTTAGGTTGACTGGTGACTCTAAATTGCCCATAGCAGTGAGTGTGGGTGTGTGGTTGTCTGTCTACATGTTAGCCTTCTGATAGACTGGTGACCTGTCCACCCAGGACAGGTCACCAGCTGGAGGACAGTGCCTCCTCCAGCTCAGTTGGAGGAGGAAGCTCCTCCCCCAGACACGCCTCCATCCAC